TTAGAGAGGCCCATGTCGATAGTATTTGCAGCTAATTGATTTGTCATCTTTAAGAGGAATGACATGGTCAAAGGGTCGAGAAGGGGGTAACTGCTTTGGTTCATCAAACACTACAACAAATTTATCTAATAGTTGTTGATTCACACAAGGTTAGTGTCACTAAGCATTGTTCTGCTTTGTCTTGGAAAATAAGTGGCCACCATTTTAGCGATGATTTTCTAGTCATGAAGATAGGTGGATATGATGTTATCCTGGGTACTTAATGGTTGAGGAAGCTATGTCATTTTAGTGCGGATATGGAGCTAAAGTTGTTTGAATTTAGGCGCAATGGTCAACTTATACAGTTGCAAGGTTTAGGTCATAGGCAGTCTATGGTACCTGAGGAGTTGTTGACTCCTAAAGAATTTTTTGTGGCCCCCCAAGTGTTCATCATTCATGCTCCTTCTCAACTACACTTGAATTTGTGTTTTAACTATGAGCTGTCACCAACCTAGTATGCTGAGTTGCAGTGATATGTGGTAAATAATATATATACAGTACAATAAATAATACACACGGGGGGTTTTCTGTAATTGGCTTTTGGATAGCGTATATTGCCTTTTATGAGTTAGTTATAGGAGAGAAATGATTTCCGGCCTCTCAGTAACCTTCAGATTGAGCCTCTTGGCCCTGATAGTGTTGATCACATTATGGGTACTCCTAGTGTCAATCAAGATAATTAACGACAGTGACGCTAACTTTGATATCAAAGGTATCAGAGCTGCCTTTCGGTCTGTTATGCTGGAGACACGATCCACTGAACGCTTCAGTGATATTGAGCAGCGCTTAAACCTACAACAAGCTACTATTGACTCTATCACGTAGCTGGATAAGCATTCTCAGGATATTTCTGATCTTAAATCCTCCATTACTAAAGTTGAACTTTATCTTGAGGAGATTTCTGCTAAGCTTACTTCTCTATCTGATAATGGGAAACGGCCGACTTTGGGCAATAGGGAAGGCGCGTCCAACTTTGTGAGTCCACCTCCCGTTTTTCACTTTGGTTCTTTGAGCGAGCTGCTTAATCCATACCTTCTCATTATTGGTCGAAGAAGATGACTAGTTTGAAGATGCTTTGAACGACGCACTCGTTGATGCCGTGGGTACCATTAATGCCATTAAGGGCAAGGAGGATACGACGAATCTAAAACTGTTGGGTCACATTAAGAATCAACGTGTCATGAGAGGCACTATTTAATTTAAAACTTGTAAATAATACTACATCAAGTCTTTAATTAAAAGGTAAATTACTAATTTGAGGAATAAATAAGAGTTAAGGACAAAACATATAAATATGGGAGACAAAATGAATTAGAATATTATATCTATGATCAAATTAAATTTTTTATTAACTTTGAGACAAAATATGATTTTTAAAAAAAATTAATTTAATTTAATTTTAAGTAGGATTTGATTTTTTTTTGTTTTTGCTAAAGCATAGATATCCTCCTATTGGAGGCAATCCTATTCGAGATACTATCGGGCACTAAATGTGGACACTTCTCTTAATGGAGATTCGAATATTGATTCGTCACATTATAAGGATTAATCCTTTCTACTAGACTCAGTTCCTATTGGTTGAATGAGTATCCATGTCTTGGTAATTGCACAAATTTGATTTGAGGACAGCCCACGAGTTGAAAAGTTGAAACTTTATTATTATTTTTTTTCTCTTTTTTCAACTTTTCTACTTTGTTGCTAGTGATAGAACTGTTGGTAAAAGTTACCCACTCATGTCCTTTTTTTAAAAAAAAATAATAAAATAGAAAATGAAAAAAAAAATCTTCTTTATTTCAGTGGTAAGGAAAATATGATAAATCTTTGTACATAGAAGGTATTGGTTTTTTTGTAAATTTGTACACACAGTTTACATATCTTGATTTAGATTCTTCTCATCAATAAAATTTTTTATGAGAGCTTTTTTTCCCATAATTTTTCTTAAAAAATTAGTTAAATGTTAAAAACTCTTAGAAACACTTTAATAATATCTTTGGTTTATCCAACTTGAGAATGAAAAAATCATTATATTTAGGAGTTTAAAACTAATAGATAGGTAAAAAAAACTCTTGAAACATTAAAGACTAGTAGATGTGGCCGACCAAAAATAAGACTAATAGATGTCCTTATAAAGAGGAAACTTATTCACAAAGCTATTTTCACTTTTTTTAAAGAAAACAAAAAGAAGATAATTTAGGAGTTTAATAAACAAATAGCCTCACTCATCACATGGGATTGGCATTATTATAATTTGAACTTTTGCTTGTAAATTGATGATTCCACCCTACCCTGACAAGACATCCGTCTGTTTAGATCCGAAACATGTTAACCCTAAAATATGAAATTAAGGATTTTAATCACAGAATCTTTATTCTTGCTTTGCTTCTCTGTCGTTTTCTCGCAGTTTCGTTGTCTTCTGTTTGGTTGTTAACTTGTTATAAGAGAATAAAGAACTTCAATTTTCCCTCTGGAATCTCAGCCAAAATCCTTTCTAGTTTCCTCTCTCAGCCTTACGCGGACCCATACAAACAGAAAACAGTTTTTTTTTTTTCAGTCCAAATTATCTCTTCCATGTTAGCTCGTGTTTTAGATATAAGAACTAGTTTATACAAACTAGTACTTATGTTTGAGACTGGATATAGTACCTGCAACGCTTTTTCATACGGTTTATTATAATATAAGAATCTTTATTTATATCATTAATTCTTTTAAAAGATACTTTCTAATCTTTTATATAATTCACTTCTGACTAATTTACATATATCAATATAAACAATTAAAAACAATCAAAGACATTAAACTATTATAAAATTCAAGTTATTTTTAATGTTGTCCTTATTAATTATACTAAGTTTCCATCATACTAATTTCTACTCTCATACTACCCTTATTAAATATGATGAGTACATGGGAGAGGGGAAAATATTTATTAATTATTGAAAGCATCAAATTTCTCATCACAAGGAAGGGAGAGTATTCATCACTCCCTTATATTCTAAATGTTGAAGTTAGATAACTAATTTATAAATATTAAAAAATTAGTTAAATTAATTATTTATAATAAATATGTGTTGTTTTTGGTACAATATTCTCTTTACCACTCTATTTCTATCCCTGTTGAACATAATAATAAGTAAGAGAGAATGTAAAACATTTTTCTTTTCCAACAACCTTTCTTTGATAGGGGCAAGTGCGAAAATTTTTATCAATTTAATGTATTCTTTAATATGTAAGAATAGGGTATAAGTGACTCACGTATAGAAACAAAGTGGTAGTCATTTGTATTAGAAATTATACCTTCTTTAATATACGCAATCAATAGGATTTCTTGAGAAAACAATTACATTAAATTTGTGAGACAAAGTTGATTTGGATTTTATATTTAGAATCAAAACAAATCCTTCAACTAATTCTTATATTTAAAAACTCATGATGTATTTTGATATTTCCTAATTAACTAAATAAATTTTAAATTAACTGGACAATCTCTCTTAACAAATGAATTTCATTTAAACACACACAAGATCCATTTTAATTATTATGTAAATGGAATATAATGATGTGAGTAATCATGAAGGCAAGCAGTTAGAGCATAGAGAACATGGATATGTTGGGAAAAGGGCATTATTGGTGAGAAATTGGCATGGGGTGTAAAAACAAGGAAAATAGTTGGGAGTTTGATAGATTAGTTGGGACCCAAAATGTGAAAAAAATATCATAAGGATCGAATATCTGGGAAGGGTCCCCCATATTCTTAAATGACAGAGACAAGGACAACGGAAAGCAACCAAACCAACAATGATGCTTTGGCCCGGCGTGATTATAGGATCATCCCACTTCAAAATCCTACTTTTTTATTCATGACCCCACCATTTTTTTAACTTTATTGTGTTAAGTAGAATATTAGGAAAATTACTCAGAGTTCAGATTTAAAAAACATATATATAGATGGGTTGCAAACTGTATTTTGAACAATTCAGATGTCACCATAATAATAAGAGTTAATGGTCATTTCTGCTTTAAAAGTATTTGCGAAGAAATTGTGCGTATTTGAAAAAAGGTTATTTTTACTAAACGTTGCCCTGTAAATGGTAAAAAGGAGCCATATAACCCTTTTCATTAAAAATGGTAATAGTCACCATTTTTTTTTATAACACTTGTGAAAAAAATTTCTCAATACCGACAGCTTCTTCACGAATGCTTCTAGAACTAAAAATGACACTTAACCATAATAATGAACAAGTGAACTTACGTGAAGCTGATTAATGAGCACAAATGAGAATGCCATGAACTATAGCATGCAAGGTGGGTGCCTGTCGCAAGATAAAGGGACTGTGGTGGGCCAAAGTGGCCCTCTTGGAGATCCACAGGACAAAATGGTCCCATCCTGGCTCAAACGACAGAACCAGCCCAAACACTACCTTCTCTGACCCAATTGACAAAACTAGAGCTGTTGCAAGTTTGTCGGCACATGTGCGAGCATAAAGAGAAGCAACAAGGGCATTTTGCCATGTTATCTCCCCAAGTAGGTATTCAATCATGTAAAAATTCCAGTCCTTCCATCCTCAATCCCACTATGGATAAGTTTCTTTAGTTAAGATTCACACCTAAGTTCTAATCATTGAAATTCGAGATGGAAGTCAGAGAACACGTTCTTGATAATAGAATCGACCTAAAATAAAGAAGTATAAGAAGAACAAAATACATTCAGGTGTAATTCAATCATGATGTTCACATGCATCATCTACCTGGAGAGCAGAACAGAATACAACCTTAAGGCTATGTTTGGATAGAGGGAAAAGTAGGAGGAAATTAGGGGGTTTCCTCTCTCCAATTTCAAACATGGTAGATGGTTTAACTTATTTCTCTCCAATTCTCCAGCTGGAAACAACCCTGTTCTTTTCCTTCGTAGCTTGAGGATAATGTCAAAGGCAGCATAGTCAACTAAAATTGCACCAATAGGATTGATTGGAATCCGGATAAACTTTAGACTACAAAATTATGCTTCATTTATAAATCAATACATGAATTGGATTGAGAACATGAGAATCCATTACAATATAATGAATGAAATACATCCTATATGACTGGAGAAAGCTTAATTTAATGTGCAGTCTATACACAACTTAAGATTTCACAGTTGAGACTGGTGCTTGGGAAGCCAAAGGTCAGGGCTTAAGAACGTTGATATGGTGGGGGAAAAAATATCCACCTGCTATTTGGTGTGCATCTATGTTGTTATCTTCTTCATGATTCTTGGCATCAATTTGCCTCTTCACTAACAGCAAACAAGCCTTTTAGAATTCACCCAAGACGTCAAGTGCCAGGCATGTTACTGCCTGTGCTAGAAAGTATTATGAAGGCACAAACAACTGAAAGTGAGAAGACTGATATCCAGGTATTCTCTGTGTACATTTCCATTGCATCAGTGAAGGAAAACCGGGCTCTGTTTTCAGCCCAGTTACGAAGCCGATCTGCCTCAGCTGCATACAATGCTCTACCCTGAAATACACAGGGTTTTAACAATTCATGGGCTTTCACTTGATATCTTGGACTTTTGAATAGTCAAGAGATCAATAAATGACTGTAGGGAATCAAACCGATAACACAGTTTAAGTAAACAAGCTATGAACATTATGACCAGTGTGACTTGCCTGATCATCAAACCAGCGACCTCTTCGTAACCATGCAGTGACCAAAGCAAGCAATATTCTGGGAGGGGTCAAGTAATTTATGGCTTTTCCTGTTCCCTTGACCACTCGCATTCGTGTAACTAAACTTCGAGCAACAGTTTCGGGGAGCTCACAGATAATGTTGAACATTTGTTTATTTTGTACGGTTGAGCCACTGTACACAAGTCACAAAATGGTTTTAACAAACATTAATCATATCTTCATCATTGTACTGGCTTTCAACTCAAGCAAGTTACTAATTTTTCAGGAAAGGTAAAGTTTCCATTGCCTTATTAGTATAAACTGAGAGGGGAAATCAGCAGAAATTCCTAAACCAAAAATCTAGGATGATGTCAAGCTCAGAGAACAGGAGAAGATTCATTATGAAGATGTACCTTAGAAGAAGATCTGTAAGAACCATGCCTGGAGATGCTGTGTGGACTCCTACTTTGGATCGCTTGCATTCCTTCAACAGTGATCCTTGAAGCTGCCGGAGGCCACACTTTGTAGAACCATATCTAGACGTCAGAAGAAGGAAAAAAAATAGTCTCATAAGCATCATTTGAAATAATCATGATTCTTGATGAACATACATTTCCATGAATAAATAAAGTTATCTAAAAATAACTTCACCAGAGAACTACTCACACAGCCGTCAGGGGTGTGCTGGAACCTCCAGAACCTGCACCATCCATGTTAAATATGTGGCCTCCCTTTTCCTGGTCCCTCATTACACGCATAGCTTCTCGAGTGCAAATTATTGATCCAACCAGATTTGTTGAGACAATCTACAGATAACCAGAAACGAACAAAAGTGAAGATGAAAAGAGTGGCTAAAACTTATAATAGCTGAAAGACTGAATTTCTATTAAGCAAATAAAAATTTAACAAAACAGACCAAAAAAACAACTCATTAACGTGTACCTGTCTGATATCTTCATCACTGAATTGAAGCAGTGGTCTGAATCCTTTATTTGTGCCAGCATTGTTTATCTGTTTCAGAGTTTGAATGGAAGGAACAGGGTTAAGGCATGAGAAGCAGAAACATAGAAAGTGCTCTCTACAATACATAGAATACTGTAATATTCTGGCATCTTCATCAAGAGAGAAAACCCATATTGTCAGAAAAGAGATAACAAAATTGTTAGCACAGAAAATAGGCATCACCCTTCCCTTCAAGACATGTGACATCAATGTTGCATCATTTCGAATATCAACTATTGATGCCAAGTTAAAAACTCATATAAGAGACTTCCGACAGTCCATAGGATTAACTAATCCAACATGAATTGCTATGCTGAAAACATAGGATTAGTAACAAGAATCAAGTGTCGCAGATACCAGGAATGTCCGCAATTATTTCAACTCTAGGCCATATCTAGAATCACATCCATACTTACCCAAATGTCAATATGGCCAAGCTCATTGACTGTGAAATTGCCCAATCTCTGCACATCACCAGGTTCACAAACATCACAAGCTATGCCTATCACTTTCGCATGAGAAAGCTTTGTTAGAGATGAGCCAACTGCATTTGAAATTCCCTCTTTCAGGTTTTCCTCGAGCTCTTTGATGGTTGCTTGCACAGACTCAGGACTGCCTTCACAAAAATGTGAGAGTAGAAACAGTTATGTGAATAATATGCATATGAAAGGCATCAAATACTATGCATTTCATTCTCTATTGAACCAAACAGTTATCATAATCCAAAATACCACCTGCGAGAGGTAATGACCACACGATCTCCTGAGAGAAGGAATTCTCGAGCCAGAGCCTTACCCAGTCCTCTTGTACTGTACAAACCAATCCATTTATAAGACTCGACAAACCATATTATGAGAACATAAGTACATAACTTTTGAAATCCTCAAAGCGACTTCCAAAGGTTGAAACATAACACGGAAATGAAAGAAGAAAACTATAGGAGCAAGGATTCACAGATGAAGATATTCATGGTGGAGATGAAACAGTGATGGGAGAAAGCAAGTGTACCTCCCAGTTATGACAACATTACGTGGACCAGCACGACAATGTTCTTCCAATACCATATTAGCACCTATCATTGTCCCAATGATAACTCCTCCAAGCCAGCTATACCATATCAGAGCATCTAACTGACTGTCTCCACCTTCACAAAATTTTCATTTGATATTACGCGGAGATGTATACAGGAATAGATAGATTTTAATTTTCAATTCACATTTGTGTAGGCAAAATGCAATAAGTTATGTGGATCATTGCTTTGCAGAGTCCAGGCGGAGCTGCACTGGTTTATAGCTAATAAATGGTGCAACTTCCTATAGATTTTATATTACACACACACGCACACCCCCATGGACCTACACAGCATATACCTACGTACATATATTAATACATGCGAGATAAGTTTATGTACATGGGAGCTATAGCTAACCTGACATCTGAAATCCAATGGCAAGAATGACCCCAGTGCTCATCATAGTCACAATATATCTTCCAATTTGAACAGCAATCTAGTATTTGGCAACAGAGGACACAAAAGTCAAAGAGGAAGTACTTTAATTAAATGGAAAACAGCTCAGTGAACACCGCCAGGAAAAAAGAGTAAACTAAGGTGCCTACGTAGCAAGACTATTCAGTGGCTTTAGCACGATGGGTGCAAGAGTTAGCCTTGGAAACAACAAACTCAGTATATTTTAATACCTTTTTAGATTCACTTGTTACAACTAAAAATGAAGTTGACCTGAATTCAAAAGGAAAGCAAAAACAAAAACATGCTATTAGTTTAATCTAAGGGGGTGTTTGGAAAACCCAAAACCAGAAGCATTTTTCCGTAAAACGAGATAATCTCCTCTACATATTTACTTCGTAATCCGTAAAAACACCTTTAAAACTATGATTTCGTTTCTATCCAAACACCCCTAAAAAGAAAACCAGCGAAAACTTACCGAGGACAGCACCTCCTCCACCTTGGCCACAGCTAAACGATATTCGTCCTCTGATTTTGAGCCCAACTTGAAAGTACTTAACATCATAGAATTTACAGAACTCCAAAACCCATTTTCCCTTTTCAATTTCACCTCATGTTTCTTCAAATTCCGGTGCCTTTTCTCCTTCAAATCCCCTCCATCCTCAGTCCTAAAGGCCTTGCACGGTTTCAAAGAAAGCCCATCACGGCAAGAACCCGGCCTGAGCGAGGACGTCCTACGGTGGTGGTCACTGAAGCAGAGGTGGTTAAAGCTTTCTGGGGCCAATCGTAGCTTTACGAGAGTGGCCATGGCTGTCAGAGAAACACAAAAGCAAAAGCGAAATTCTTGGAAAATTAGATTGGCAAGGCATTTATAATGTTGCCGTTCTGAAAAATTTGTAATTTTGTGTGAGGGAAGTAAAATATCAAGGAGTAAGCATCGATTAGATGGAGAAGCGTTAACGTGGCGATGAAGAGAGAGAATTGTGACGACCACACGTTGAAGCAACCCAATCCTTACAAGATTAAAGGACACGTGGCGATGTGGGTCTGTGTTCCCTCACTGTCTCTGCCTTCCTTCCTTGCTCGAGCATTTGTTAGGCACACGACTAGTTTGTGTTGAGATAATAGTCCAAACCCAATTTCTGTAATTTGTTAAGCACGCGACCGGTTTGGATTGTGATTCATCCTATGCTAATTTAATTTGGGATTTTTTTAAAAAAGAAACACATCTTGTCTTGCTCTTGCGTGTTTGATATAACTTTATGATATCATATACATTTCTATTTTGATCTCTCAATTTTATGAAGTGTTTTCTTGTCATTAACATTTTAAATATTAATAAAACATTAACATATAGCAATATAAAAAAAATAGATGTGTTAGTTATACATGTAATAATTATGAGTTAATTTTTCTAAACTATTTTTTAATCATAGTTACCTTTGAATGAAATCCCATTTAATATGCATAATTAATATAAATATTTTAAAAAATAAATCATAAATTTAGAAGATAAAGTGGACTGAAATCTAATTAAAATAAAATTTAATTTTTGGTTAGTTTTTATATTAAGAAAAGGAAATAATAATTACGTAAAGTATGAATGCATTGGTTTTATTTCGTCATAGATTTTATTTTATATTTTTAATATGTGATTCATAATGGTCCCGTCTGATCTTTTCCGGCCAAACATGTGATGCTTCGAGATCTACGATGACGTTTTATGGGCAACTAGGTGAACGAGTGATTTCTTTTGTTTTTGTCTTTTGGCCGACGGCGAATGAGTGATTTAAAAAATTAATTTTTTATTCTTTTTACAATTTTAACTTGTTAGTCATTCAATTTTGATACTTTGACTTGGTAAAACTCAATTCTCATAATTTTGATTTGATGCAATTTAATATCTGTAGTTTTATTTATTATATAATTTAATCCCTACTTTTATTAGATATAAAATGATTAAAACTATAAGACTCAACTTGTAGTGAGTCAAAATTCAAAGACTGAATTATAATTGGATCAAAATTATATGAATAGAGTTGTACTGAGTCACAATTCAGAGACCAAGTTATAAATGAGTTAAATCTAGAGGAACTAAAAGATTAATTTTAAGCAAAATTTATAAGCAATACTACTGTAACTTATTATTGAATTGAGTGAAAATGAATTTATCGGTCTTAGGTAAGATTAAGAATTTTAATATCAAGACTCAAGTGAGAAAAGCCAATTTTGCTTCTCAATTGCTATCACTGAAGGCAATCTTATTCAAAATACGATTGAATACTAAAATATGAACATATCTTTCAGCAAAATTCTGAATTTTTATTTATTAAGTTGTCAAGAACTAACTCTTTTTATTAGATCAAACCCTCATTATTAGTTAATGAGTTCTTTAATTAAACTTAAAAATACTTAAATTTAATTAAATAATGTTAGAGTTATTAATATATACCATTAGACCAATAGAGTTATTAATACATACCCTTAGCCCAATTGAGTCAACCCATCGTATCACACGTTTAGCCCTATGCAACGGAAAAATTGATTAAAGTTAAATCAGTTTTCACTTTATATTACGTTTATTTAGATGTAAATATCTATTTCAGATTTCCTTTTTTTAATATTTTTTAATATGGTTGATAACTTGATATCCAATGTTCTTTCGTTGAAAGCACACTTTAAAAAAGTTCATAGGTCAATAACATAAAAATTTGGCACAATTTCTATATTACTTTCATGCCCAAAAAAACCTCAAAAAATGATGATCTTTTAAGGTTTACCAGTGAGCTTCTTCATTAAGCCTTGCAAGGAATGGTTTTTCTTTAGTGTTTTCTTTTTTTTTCTGATAAAAAGATTATTTATTAAAACTACGTAAAACGATACACAAACTGATGAAACCCTTTATATAGCAAAGGCTGATAAAAACATAGGAGCCCACCTAAAAACTAAAAAAAGAAAGCAAACACAAGAACACTGAACGACCATATAGGCCCTGAGAATCCTGAAGGATGATGACTCAGTGACAAGAGCCAGACGCTTCAGCTGGAAAGATGATACTACGACCATAGAAAGCCAGTGATGCGACCACTTTTGCAGCAACACAAGCCAAGAGCAATCCGAAGAGCTTCCCGAAGATACTAATGATAGAAAACCGTCACATCAACTGAAACACAGAGAGCTTGAAAGATGATGCTGAGGATAAAATGTAAAAGATCACCAAAAGTAGTACTACTACAAGATCAATTTGATAGCGTAAATGGTTTGTGTTTAGATTGACTTTTGTAAGAAAAATCAATTTGAGAAGCTGAAACTTATTTGAATGATTAATAGAAAAATAAGTTTAGATGCAAAATAATTTAAAAGAACATGAATTTTATTAAGTAATACATATCTAATATTATATGTATATAATGTGACCATTTTAAATGAAATATGAAAAATAAAATTATTAAAAATGAAGAAATTTAATTTATTAATGATTCTAACGGTATTATTCACCGCATTGGCAACCAAAAAATAAACTTAGAGCAACTTAATTCAGAAGTCCATTTCAAACTAAGAAATCATGTTGCCAAAACATGAATCCAAACATTACTAAATCTTACAGCTCCAATTTTTTTATTTGGGATGCACGTTTAGGCCCGAAACGACATTCCAAACATATCCTAAATAGCTACTATTGAACTTAGAGGCTCCATTTAGAGTCATAAACACTTGCGGAGCTTTTTGGCAGAAGCTCCGCAACAAGCCAGGCTGCAATCAAGATGCTTAAAAGCTCTGTAAGATGAACCTCTAAGTAGCTACTATTGAACTTAAAGGCTCCCATTTAGTATCATAAACACTTGCAGGCTGCAATCAAGATGCTCATCCAGTAGATATGAAGTCACTCTAACGTTCAACAAATCTCCAACACCGACATTCCTTTCCTGGTAGGCTTCTTTGAGAATGCACGATCATGCCCAGCAGAAAAATACTCGTGCTTTCTATGAAAGGCTGGAGAAGATTGCTTAGGACATGTAAGCTTTTCGACATCATAGTCATAAGTATGATCCTTCCTAGAACACGGGTCATAAGTGGACCAGGAGATTCTTGATCGATGAGTAGTTGGTATGTCTATCGTTGCATGGAGTAACAAGCTTGGTTCGCTTCCAACTGAAGTTACAAGACTTGTCCCTGGAGGCTTCCCATGTATGAGGCAAATTAGGAGAGTTTTTAGAACCCAAAGAGTTTGTGAAAACGTTTGCAAGAAGATTCATCGACTTCAATAACTGAACCAAACAAACTAGTACCAATCTTCCATGCCACCTCCGCTGTAGAGAATAGTCCAAGGGAAGCCCAAACACCTGAATCCAAACAGTGAAAGAAGAAAAGGAGACCATATAAAAATAGGTTCAACAGGAAATTACCGATTTGAGGCGAAGAACACTTCAGAACATGAAGCGGGAAGAACATGAATGTTCATCAATAATAAAAATCACCTTTGATATAAAAAAGTGTTTATCAAAATGTTTTGGTGACCAAATCAGCCATTAAATTAGTCAAAACGCTTCTCTCTTTTTTTTTTTAATAGAAAAAACTATTTTAATTTTGAATTAGATTCCTAAACTTTTTCTTTTTTCCTTTTTATGGAGTCTTTCAACTTTACACCATTGGATCCGTTAGTCCCTAGAATTAAAGACTATTAAATAAACATTGATGGTGTTATTGTTACCGTTAAATAATTTTATTATATTTTTTTATATTTTTCCATGGTAAATTTTTCAGTACGGTGCTATAGTGTATGCTCGGCTCCCCACGTAATCTCTACCACTTTATATCCCCCGATCATCTACAATATCGCATTCGCACTGCCTCCTTTTGATGAATCTAAAATCTAATCCCCATTCACTTCCTCCATATAGTTATTTTACCTTTTGATCATGATCTCCTTGTCAGAGAAATGGACTTTCTGGCAAATTATTTTCCTCTCTCTAGTTAAACTTCGTCCAGTGTCGTCTGAAAACCTTGAGCTCAAAGCCATTTTCTGAGGTCGTCGCTAAGAAGGTTGTTCATCTTTGAGAAACAATCTCTGAGTGTGTTGAAGATTTTCTCATTGGAAAAACTCGTCGCAGCCAATGAATGCTTGTCCAATAGGGATGGAGGATGATCGGAGTTCGAGCTAAGTTCACTTTGCTTGCCGAAAATGGTGCAGAATTTCAATGAGACAAACGAGAAGTAGCCACCGGCGGCTAGATGCAGCCATAATCACTGTAATTGCTTCAATAGCAAAACAAAGGAGGAATGAACGAAGATATTGAAACGAACAAAGAACGAACAATGAATCAGGAAGGAGAGTTTTGCTCTGAAACTTTTTGGGGTTACAGGGGAAGGAGATAGGTAACGACAGTTTTAACACTGTTAGGCCCTGTTTGGTAGGCAACATTGAATTTTGGTGGACTGGGATTAGGAATGGGATTGGGATTGTCACTGGAAGTGGAAGTGGGAATGAAGCTTTGTAATCATGTTTGGTAATTGGTATGGTGTAATATTTGAAAGGAATGATGGATTAATTTCATTTAATACTCAGTTATAAAATATGAAAAGACTATAATACATTTACTGTCAAAAAAGTAAAAAAGGCCCTAGTAGTCTTCCATCCAGGAGCTCTTGCACCGCTTTCATATATTTAGACCCCAAAACCATGCTCTACATATTCGAAATTCCTTTTGACACTGATGGTGACGAAGAGTTTCCCAGAATCTGCATATCACCATGGCAATAGATGAATTACTAGAAGTAATTGAGTATAATACTTAAAAAAAAAATATTCTACTGAATGTAGTACTGTTCAGAATTTTACATGTAGATTTTGCAATGAAAGAAAAAATGTAATTGAAAAATGATTCGTTCGGTGGCGGGTGAATGGATTGCTAAAAAATCAACTAACATTGAACTCATAATAGCAAAGAAATAATTAAAAAATGGCTTGCAAGGCTTTATACCCAAGTTCAAAAACCCACCGAAGTCATAAATTTTTACGCCACAGAAAGGAGCAAAGGTTGCTTGTAGACAGTGCGACTTTCTTGATGGCAAGAGCAACAACGAGAGCAACACCTAGACCAACGATGAGAGCAGAGTGGCAGGCAAAACGAGAATGACAATGGAGATTGACGATGAGAAAGATGAGTCTAGGTTAAAATTAGAGGGTAGTCTTGTCCAGAAATTATAATAAATCCACAATTTTCAATCCCAGGATTGAAAATGCAATACCAGGGGGAGAGGTGGGCTTGTGCAATCCCATTTATATGGAATTGTCTAAGTCCAGGTTACAATCAATCCACATACCAAAACAATACAATTTGACTCAATCCCTGACCCAATCCCAAGTCTCTCGTCCTGCGTACCAAATAGAGTCTTAGTATTTACTTAACTATGGGGTTTAACAAATCTAACTGCACAAAGTTAAAGGATCCAGTTATATATATATATATATATATATATATATAGGGACCTGATTTAAAATTGGGCAAACAATAAGAACCTCTAAATTAGTTTTTCCTTTTTTTTAACCTTTAAAACACTGGATCAATCTCAGTGAAAGAAATAGTAATATGATTATGAAATTTCGTATTTATTTTTACACATTAAATTGTCGGATAAAAACTTTTAGAGGAGGATATTATTAGTAAATTACATAGCATAATATTCAAATCTAAATAATTTAATTTCGATGTTTAAATACCCCACTCAAAATTAGTCAATAATCAATTACTATTGTATTCATTTGGCAAATCTATAATTATCAAAAATTATATGCAAAAATAATGCTTTTGTAAAATTAGAATATAGGAAGACAAATTTATCAAAACAAAAAAATGCTTCTATCTTCAGTCTTTAATGTAAGACATTGTTTGATTTTTATTTTGATCCTAAATATAAACCACAATCTATTTTATTTATCATATTTATCTATTTTTTCTAAAATAGTCTTTCTAATAATAATAGTTTTAGTCAATAAACTTGATTAGTAATGATAACTGATTTTTTTAATCTACTCAAATTAATTAATTAGTTTTTTTATATTTAAAACCATTAGTATTTTGTATTGACAACGTGTTTTGCCCCAAAAAAAAATTAGGAGAAAGGAAGCGGGTGGTTGCCAACAATGATGGCTCTGTCCCGTGGCCAAAAAAAGAGTGCTCGCGTTACAGCTGTGGCCAGCAGCTATTTTGATCTGTGGACGAAGAGGGACGGCGGGGACATAATCGTCAAATGTTTCTGCAAGGAGTAATATAGAAATGGAAGGAATATGATAGGCCGAGAAGGCAGTGTAAACAAGATTTGGAACGCAAGAGTCGGGCGTGGGGGATTTCGGATTTCCTCCATATTCTCACACTCGCGTCCGAAGACTCAAACCCCAATAAGAAAATCCAAAACTTGTTTTGACTTTCATTCTCGTTTTTCTCTTTCTCTTGCATTTCCCAATTCTGCCGTTGTTCCTTCGCATTCAAGATGCAGAAGTCTCAGGATCAACGGCTAAGATCTGCTAAGCCGGCCACCATCCATGCCTACGCTCATTCCGGGGACCTTGCTGCCTTCCAGAGGCTACTTCGAGACAACCCGTCTCTCCTCAACGAGAGAAACCCTGTTGTAAGATCTCATTTTACTTCTCTTCATTGCTTTTCCACCATTTCACCATTTTCCTTTGGACCAAATTTTTCTTTGATTTGTTGTATGAGAATTCTGGATTAGAAAGATTCTTTTTTTGTCCTCTATAATGCTTGCTTTTGTGTCGGTTGGGGATTTAATATGCAAATGAATTCAGATCTACTTGGTAGGGCATAAAAGTCCAGCTGAGAAATGACAGTTTGGATGCGGTACCTTGTAATCCTTGGTTACGATTTCTGAGCGTAGGCTTGGCATTATTAAAATTCGCCAGCAAGTTTAAGAATCAAAAGGAAAATGTGAGATGAATATAATGCTTTGCGCGTTGAATATGCTATCAACATCGATGATGTTGATTGCAAGCCACTTGGGGCAAGACATCTTGATCAAAGCTGAGTCAGCTGTTTCCGGTGCGGAGCTTTTTTAAATTTATTCACTGAACTGTCTATCATTCCTTAACTTACAATTATGAATCTTCGTGTAATAAAATTTTAAAGAGCCCGATGCTTGACTTGTGAGATTGAACTATATCGCTTGGCTATATGGTCTTCACTTTATTGGATTCCTTATGGCTCCTTCTGTCGTCTTCCTAGTTCATGTCTGAGGATCCAACCTATCTTTAATGCAGATGGCTCAGACTCCACTTCATGTTTCTGCTGGCCACAATAGGACTGATATAGTTAAATTTCTTCTCAATTGGCAAGGACCTGATAAAGTTGAGTTGGAGGCCAAGAATATGGTAGGAACCGGATAATAATTTTTCTTAAATTTCTTGTTTAAATGTCAAGCTTTATGGTCTTGAGTATAAGTGAATGTTCTCCTAAGAAGTTTTTCTGCATTGTTTTTGTAGTATGGAGAGACACCATTGCACATGGCAGCAAAGAATGGATGCAATGAAGCGACGAAGTTACTTCTCGCTCATGGTGCTTTTATTGAAGCTAAAGCAAATGTGAATTTTCTTGTCACCTCTCTTATTTAATACCCCCCCCCCAACACGCACACACGATATTACTGTAGAAACATGATTCCTAAGCCACCCAGGCCGTGCCATGGTTTTGAGCTGCTTGCCTGCTGCCATATCCTTTTTTCATCTTTCTTCTGTTCCTTTTTTCTTGGAATTCTGTGCAAAGCTTAACCCTGCTCCAGGTCAAAAGCAATAAATGAATTGTTTAAATGTTCTATCTGACTCTTTTTTTTCCGCCTGCGTGTGCTCTTGCAGAACGGCATGACGCCTCTACATCTTGCCGTCTGGTACTCTCTACGGGCTGAAGAGTGCTTAACTGTGAAAACCTTGCTTGAGTACAATGCTGATTGCAGTGCTAAGGACAATGTAGTAAATGTGCATTGATGTTTCAAAGTTATATTTACATCTTTTTGAAAGGTTTTGATTGATTCTCAAAGCTATGAATTGCAGGAGGGGATGACTCCTTTAAATCACCTTTCTCAAGGCCCTGAAAGTAAGAAACTTAGGGGACTTTTACAGCAGCATCTTGAAGAACAGAGAAGGAGACGGGCTATTGAAGCATGCGGTGAATCCAAAGCTAAAATGGATGAGCTTGAAAATGAAATTGCAAATGTTGTGGGGCTACATGATTTAAAAGTACAATTGAGAAAGTGGGCAAAGGGCATGCTTTTGGATGAGAGACGTAGAGCGCTTGGTCTGCAAGTTGGCCCCAGAAGACCCCCACATATGGCCTTCCTTGGAAATCCGGGAACAGGTTATTCATTATAGATTTTTCTGAGATGTACTTTTTCACATGTAACCTGTGTTGGAAAGATATCTTACTCAGAAGTTATATATATCCTTGTTTTCTCTTTTAGCCCATGATATTATGCCATTGTAGCCCTTTCTCATCAATTCCATGTTTGGAAGTTAAAAACAGCCCGACAACCTAGTACTTCTCTTTTTAATTGTTTTTTTAACTGTTGGTGATTGATTTCAGTGCATGTGAGTGCATGACATTTTAGATTGATTTCATTCTTCAATGATCTAACCGTATATATAATGGAAATAATGCTGTATCAATCTTGGCTGCCTTCTCATTGTGCACTTACTCGGTTATATTTCATTTTTCTTTGTACTGTTTCCTCTAGTCATTGAAGTTGATTGTTATATTCAATAGGTAAAACAATGGTAGCTCGGATCCTTGGTAAATTACTCCATATGGTCGGAATTCTACCAACTGATAAAGTGACTGAGGTACAACGAACTGATTTGGTTGGAGAGTTTGTTGGTCATACCGGTCCAAAGACCAGGAGGAAGGTATGGTACTGGCTTTGAAATCCTTAATTGCATACTTCTTTTAGAAATCAAACCTGACCACCATGCATCGCCCAATTTTACACAGATAAAAGAAGCAGAAGGGGGAATCCTATTTGTGGATGAAGCCTATAGATTGATACCAATGCAGAAGGCAGATGATAAGGACTATGGATTGGAAGCCTTAGAGGAGATTATGTCTGTCATGGACTCTGGAAAAATCGTGGTTATATTTGCAGGATACAGTGAACCAATGAAGCGAGTGATCGCTTCAAATGAAGGTTTCTGCAGGCGGGTGACCAAGTTCTTCCATTTTAACGACTTCAATTCGGCCGAACTAGCGGAAATCCTCCACATCAAGATGAGAAATCAAGCAGCAGAAAGCTTGCTGTATGGATTCAAGCTGCATAACTCATGCAGTGTAGAAGCTGTATCAGCATTGATAGAAAGGGAAACAACAGAAAAGCAACGCAAGGAAATGAATGGGGGTTTGGTGGACACTATGTTGGTTAATGCTAGGGAAAATTTGGATCTCAGGCTTAGCTTTGATTGTATAGATACAGAAGAACTTCTTACCATCACACTGGTAGATTTAGAAGCTGGACTTTGCATATTATCACAGTAAGCGACATATTCTGAAATCTGATAATATTCTGAAGAGGAATATTTCAGCATACATATCCATTCATACAGTTGGATGCTGCCGATTATTGTGGAAATTCTTTTGTATCTTTAGTTTTGTAATTGATTATGTTGTAGTATATATAGGCTGGGCTTATTGTGCCCTTTGCTTTATTTGCATCATCCATTGTATTCTTTGTAACTGATTTATTTTTCTCAAGTGAGCAATAAATCTCTTAATGTTTGTGCTTACTCGGAAAATTCAACATTTTCTTTATCTTGGCCAAGGGTAATTTCCCCCGTCATGCCTGGTTTAATTTTAATTTATATGTATGCTTCTTTGTTATTTTATTGTATTATTAGTTCTGATCGTTAATATAAGAGTTAGTTTAATTTTTATTTTGATCATAAATATAAAATCTTAATCCATTTGTTTTTTATATTTATTTATTTATTTCAAGATAATTTTTTTAGTAGTTGAATATGTATTTTATCAAATGATAACTCTGGCTAATACACATGATTACATATATTTTAGAAAAGATAATATCTATTTATTTCAAATAATTAATTTAATTAATTTTTTTAATTTATTCAAATTAATCTATTAGTTCTTATATTAACGATTGGAGGTAGTATAATATTAACTAATAATTAATGTATTATAATTTTCTATGTTATTATGTATATTTATACTTTTGGAAATATGAACCTACAATCTAGTTAATTTTGAAGAGTATGTGAGAAGAAGTGATAAGATGTGAAAGCACGAAAATTTTAGTTGGAATCTAATTTGTAGAAAAGAAATTAAGAAAATAGTTGGGGTCAAACTTGGAGATACGAAACGGGGACGCTAATATATAAAGCAAGAAAATATCTACTTTAAATTATTTATGTATTTAAAAAAAAATTCATTGTTGAGGGCTGAGGATGTGGTTGAAATATAACTTCTATTTTAAAAATTCCTAAAAAATAAGAACTAAAAATAAGTCAAGTTTGTAACGAAAACAAACATGCTTAAAATTGATGTTGTTATAAAATAGTCCCGTGATGAATTCTATAAAGAAGTTTACTTTAGCAGAAATCCGGAAGAACAATCATCCTCTGGTCCCTAATTATTGGAAGAACTGGCACATTGCGTACAAGCCTAAAGTTGTTAAGAGCTACAAGATTTGTTTTCTATGACATAGGCAGCAAGAAGAGTGCGTAAGGAACCCCACCAAACAAATCGACAGTTAACCGTAATTAGAGTAATTTACGAGGAAAAGGATCTTCGAGGCCCGAAAAAAGTTCCAATTTTTCTGGCTATCCGAACGCCTCCTTCTCTTACCTTTGGGAGAGAAGAAGAATGGTGCTTACTTCTTTATCTGTAATCCCTTCTTCATCTTCGTTTCCTTCGATTTCCAATCTCGATTCCCCGTCTACTTCCACTTCCATCAGAATCAGAACCATCCATTCCTCTAGACGAGGCCTTAAATTTACTAGACCCCCTTTTCAGTTCTCTTCAGTCTACACTTCTCTTCCGTTTTCCTCAATTGTCAGAGCTTCTTCTTCCAAACAAGTTGTAGAAGATGAGTCTGCGGATAAGTTCTGGCAAAACGCCTCCATGGCGGATTTCCTGAGATTCAAGCGAGGAATCGATGGAGGGAGTGGAGAGTTGCAGACGGCAATAGTGAGCTACAGGAAGAAATTCCCATGGTCTCTATTGTACCCTTTTTTTCAGGTGCGAACTAAGACCTTTCCATTGCTCAACGATGGTTTTTTCGTTTCTTTTTCTTTTATGAATGAACTGATTTATTGTGTATTATCTTTTGCACTATCTGGTGGTGTAGGTTGATTTAGTTTCAACAATTCACATCGCAGATAAGAAGTAAGTCTGTCTAGCTTCCCAATTTTTTGTTTTTTAGTTCTGAAAGCAGCTTATCCTTGTGGGATTGTCGGATTAGTAGTTGACATAGAAAAATGAAGTGCATATGACATTTGTAATCTAAAAGAATAATGGAAAGTTATGGAGTCCTGTTGCTGATAAAGGATGGTAGATGTTGAGGTTTCGGCAAATGAAGGCTTCTCTTATTTATCCCTGGCAAATAGTGATGAGATAAACAATGTCACACAAAAAATTTCGCTTTAGAAGCTTCATGTGTGAGGAGGAATTTAGATTTATCATTATCTAAATGCAGTCTAACATTAGTGTGACATTACTCATGTCAATCATAGGTCTACTATGCACATCGTATTAGCTTGATTTTTAAAGATACCTCTACTGTCTGACTACAAAATGTGGTGGTAACTCATAATGAGTTGGGCAAACAAAATTATCACTTCTTCCAAATTAATTCCATCATTTGACATCCAGTTGCCATAAATGACTAAAGAGTATCTTTAAAGATAAAGAGGCGAATTCCTTTGCACTAACGAAGTATTGATAGAATTGATTTCTTTTTTTTTTTTTTTTTTTGGGTGACAGAATTGGTTTCTTTGTCTTTGACTGTTTTTAATTTATTTATCAAGAGTCACTAGTATTTTTAGTTGCTCCGACTTAATCTATGTTCTATCTTGAGAAATAATTAATTTTGGTGCTCCTGATTTCTTCAAACAGGTATTTTACAGCCCTCCAAAATGTACTTGAATCCTATGATTGCGTACTTTATGAAATGGTAGCTAGCAGGGAAAGTATAGAAAGTAGAAGAAACACTATCCCTAAAGCAAGGGTGAGAGGCTCCGGCGCTAAGGGTATAAACATCTTGGGATGCATCCAGCGATGGATGGCTCAAATTCTCATGCTTGACTTCCAATTAGACTCTCTGAGTTACGAAGCTGAGAATTGGTACCATGCAGATCTTGACTATGAGACCTTCAAATTGCTCCAGGTTGGGCCCTTCATTTTTCTGACTTACATAGTGGAGCCTACTCTTAATACAGTGCTTGGGGATTGCATATATTGCTCTCACTATTTTGGTTCCTGAGTTTTCTTATCCAAAGGAGGGATGAACTTATTTTTAGCTAGCAATGGGTGTGGAATCTGTCTTGAACAATCTGTCAATCTTTATGTTCCTTTTGCATTCCCCGAAAATTTGCCACTCGCACTCTATTCTCTTCCATTGTTCAAATAATAAAAATATGTCCTTTTGTTTCAGCTTGAAAAAGGTGAAAGCTTCTTTTCTTTTGCAAGAGATATGACTCTTAGATCCACAAAGGCGATGTTGCAGCCGGCTTCTTCTGTTCCAGAAGATCTTGGTTCATGGAGGTCCAAGCTTTTATGGGCTTCTCGGGTACTTCCTATGCCTCTCGTTGGCCTTTTTATCATTGGAAGCGTCTGTGCAGATGCCGGAAGTCAAGCATCAGCGTATCCTGAAATAGAGGCGTTGTCAAGCCTTGATTTTGGTGCTGCAATTAAGTTCTTCCTTGCAAAGAGGCTAGCAACTGAGTGAGTATATATGCCATCATTTGCTTCTGATGCATACCTCAATCTTCCTTTATCTTTTTGGTCATTGATGCCAAAAATATTGTTGTGAAGGTTAACAGAGGTGACAGCAGATGTAGAGGAGAAATCTGTTATAATTGGTGAGAGGAATAAAGCCGCAGTAGACTCCCTGAGAAAGGCAATTCAGGAGGGACACAATAGGATTGCAATACTCTATGGGGGTGGTCACATGCCTGATCTGGGGAGGAGATTAAGGGAGCAATTCGACCTAGACCCGGGTCGTGTGCAGTGGATTACGGCGTGGTCCATAAAGAAAAGGAATCTAAATACAAGTTCATTTCCATTTCTCAAGACAATGGCTCAAGTCTCAGGTTGGCCATGGAATCGCTATCAAACACTGGCATGGCTCATATTTTCATCGGTCCTGGCATTGGATCTTTTGTTTTGGGAACTCTTCTTTCGTACTTCTGTTGATTGGGTCTCACAAATTGGCACAGAACTTCTTGAGTATTTTGCGTAATGTTTAGCTGATAATGATACAATTGTTCAACTAAAAGCGTTCATAATAACTTAAAAGAACAAATCTTCTGGCCCGCCAGTGTAAATATTTTGAAAATTTTTCTTCGACAGAATTGAATAACCCACTCCATCTTATCTGTTACAGTGTTCCAATTTATGCATTGATAGTAGGGTTACAAGTTGCAATATACTGTTGCTGCGTGTGACTACCGAATGGAACCCGTGAGTGTGCTAGTGAAAGTGAAAAAACTTTCACCAGTAAGACACTAGTATCAATTAGCTGCAAGTTGCTATATAGTTGTGTAGATTACTAACGCAAGTAATTTGTAATTAATTTATGGTTAGAGACTTGGAGTGGGTGTAAAAGGAATGTGTTGCTGGACATTTTTCTGATGCGACTTGGAGGTTACTCTCGAGCCCACTGGATGAACTTGCATGTGGGCGTAAACTGTGATTTTCGCTTCTGTCCTTCTAAGGGCCTGTTTGGCGAGCACCCTCAAAACCATGGTTTGAAAAAAAATATCAGCCAAATAGTCCCTGAAAATATGATGAACCCCCAAACCATGGTTTTATCAGGAGCATATCAGAGTTGCTTCTTGGTTCCAATTATTGGAAGCTTATAGTAGGCCCATCACACATGACCAAATAGCCCCAACTCAAATAATTGCTCTTCCTTTCCTCTTTTACTCTTTCCCCAGTCGGTCTCTTATATAAAAAAATTCATTTTTCTATAAACATATTTAATATTATGTTTTATAAATATATATAGACACATTAATTATGTATTAATTATATTATCTTATATATTATTAATTATGTTAGTAAAATTATTTCATTAACAATTTTATTTTTCAAATCAAAATATATCATAAAATCTATCCCTTATATAATTATCATATTAATTTAGACTTCTCAGAATCACTTTTTCACAAAATCTATTCTCTCTAGAATCTATTTTCCAGAAGCTATTCTCCAAACCACGATTTGGTTTCATCCAAACACTTCCTAAATTCTCTCTGGCCACGGACCAAGGTCATGTATGCTTAAGCACATGGTTGTGTATGTGTATAATAGGTACTGATTCGTGCGAGTAATTAGCTCTTTTTCCTAGACTCAATATTGGCAAATGGTTATATAATATTGCCGTGAAAATATTGTCCAGAAAGTTGATGATTGATGGGCCCGTACTATTGCACCCACATGTAATGGGCCAAGCCCAAGTTACGAGTGTGTGAAGCTTGACACATAGAGAGAGAAGACTGTGATGTATTTATTTGGGCCTCTAGAGCAGGGAGTATGTGTGAGTCCCCCCACCCCGGGTTCTTCTATTTCCCAGAAATTTGAAGCTGTTCCAGCTTAGAGTTATTCTCTTGGCGAGGTTTTTTATCTCTGAATAGTATATTTGAGCAGTGGGTTGAATGACTTGAATCAAGATCAAAGGCGAGAGCAGATGCAGCCAAGAAATGTGTTGTAATTGGCGAGAGGAATCAAATTGCAATAGAAATCATTCATGGCCTCTGGTTAACAGTTGACAAGAACATGAACGATCCTTAGTTTAGTACTAAATTTAAGATATTGCCGAAGCTTCTTTCTTCTTTGGAGCTGCCTGAGTTCCTATGACACCAGTGGATTTGATTTTTATTTTGATTCTAAATATAATACTCCAATCTATTTTATCTCTTATATTTATTTATTTATTTCTTAAAATAGTCTTTATAATGATAATAATTCTAACTAATTAATTCGAAGAATAATTATAATTTCAGAGTTTGGGGGGGGTCCCGATGCATGTGTCACAGCTTTCAATGGCATTGACTATTTAGTCAAGAGCGTAACTGCATAACTGCGGATCGGTCCAAAAAAAAAAAAAACTGCATAGCTGCGGAGTCAATCATCCGCCGTTACCTTCCTCCAATACATTCCAATCACCTTCCCTCCTCCTCATGTTGCCTCTGCTCTAACCAAATGAAAAACGTATCACGTATCAATATCAGCATCCATCATTAATACTCATTGTAAATTACTCCGATCTTTATTATGAGTTCTTATAACTTACTCCTCCGATTCCATCCTATTTATAAGATACTTTCAGTATATTTTATATAGACTAAAAAAAACCTTACATTTTATTAACTCTCATTTAAAATTTAACAACTTTCTAACTTTATCCATATTTAATATACATTATATTTCATATAAACAAAGTCAATACTCAATATAATAATAAATGAGAGGTAAGATTGTATATTCATACCAAAAAAAATCTCTCAGTACTCTATAAATAGGACCAAAAAATATCTTTTTTTTGTCCTATAAATAGGACCAGAGGAGTATTTTTAAGTATCAATAAATGTATTTAATTAATAAATTTTTTTACATTTACTTTTATTAATTTTTCTCTCAATATTTACCATTACAAATCATTCTCACACCTATCTCCATTTTTTCTCTTTCGAATAAAAATTAAATAAGAATAAAATTAGAAAATAATTTTTTTACAAGCAACTTAATAAAGACCGAAGTGTATCTAACATGAAAGCTAATTAATGCTTACTACAAGCTAATTCTTACACTAATCAGCTTTCTCAACACACAAGCTTGATGGACGCATAAGTATAAAGAACCTAGTTCCATGCAAACTTCTTTTTGGTTCTACTTATAATGCATAAGGAGAAACTTTTTTTGACCTATTTATAATATTTTATCTTTTATTTTTATTATGTAGATTAAATTATTATTTTCTTGAAAAGTTTATATGTTAAATGGGATGAGGTTGGAGTTGTTAATTTTAATACAAAATTAATAGGGTTTAAAATTTTTCTTTATTTTAGTCAAATATATTGAAAAAGATTTATAAATAGGATGAAATGAGTATTTTTTTTCCTGTACGACTTCTTTAAAAGAATTGAAGTTTATAAAAATAATAGGAGGGAGTAATTAATACAATATATTATTTTCAAAGTTGACCAGTTTTGTTTTAAAACTGAAACTAACTAAATAAAGTCCAATATGCTAATACCACTATTTTCAAAAGGAGTTAGGCGTTAATCTTATAATCTGATTTCTATAATCCAGATTTTATGCTTTTTAATCAAACTTACAATTTTATTCCAAGAAAATAATATAAAAAAGTCTCCGAACTATCAATTGGAAAATTAATCATTTATATTAAAAAATGTAAAGTTAGAGGATCGAAGCTGAACATTATATACATATAATCAAAATTGTAATTAGAGTCGTTTTTAAGGGAGAATTTCAAAAAAAAAAAAACCTTTAAATTTCAAATTTTTAAATCAGTCTTCTTTACTATACTTTAATAATAATAGATAATATTTAAAAAGCAAATAACAACATATTTTAATAGTTATTCATGATTTGGAATTTTAAAATTTTAAAGTTTGTTTTTAGATTTTTTTTTCAATTTTCAAACATAAAATCACACACAGACTCTGAATAAAGTAAAGAAAATGATGCAGACGTAGTGATAGACTGATAGCCATAATGCATAAAAAGGTCTGTTTCGAGAGCTCTCTAAGAATGCAGTTACCATATACAGTGCTTGTTTGAATGTGGCCAATAAGCTTCTGGGAAAACAAAAGCAAAAAGATACAAAGGCAAAGAAACAAAGCAAACTGGGATCAGTGATGATGAATATGGTCCATATATAGTCTCTGCCAAAAAAAGAAGAAAAATGGTCCTAATTTCTAAGTGGAATTTCTAATACTTAAGTCTTAAATGAGAAGGAAATTAATGAGGGTAATATGTTGAAGACATTGATGTGTAATATACCACTTTGGACTGAAGTCATTTGTTTAGAAAAATTTTGGTTTTAAATATAAGTCACTTATTAGAAAAAAGTTTCAGTTTTAAATGTAAATCTCTTACAGTATATTTAATTTCTGTTTTCTAAATTTGCCTTTATTTAATTCTTATTGAAGAGAGAGAAAGAAGACAGAAATGTGAGAATGATCGGTAAATATTAAAAGAAAAATTTAATAAGGATAAGATTGAAAAATCTGGCCAATTTAATGTACTACCTTCGATACTAATTATAAGAGCTGATTGGCTGATTTGAAAATATTAAAAAAAATAAGTTAAGTTAGTTATTTGTAATAAATAGATGTTATCTTTCCTAAAATATCCTTACTAATCAAGTATATTCGTTGGAACTACTATTATTAGAAGAACTATCTTGGAAAAAAGTATATAAATATGAGAGATAGAATGAATTGAGATATTATATCTAGGACCAAAATAAAAGTCAAACAAGATCTTATATTAAGTACAGGAGATAGTATTACTTAGCATGCGAAAAATGTGTTACAACTTATAAACTTACAAATATGAGTAAGGACTACATGGTCCTACTACATTGAGGATAGAAAGTTGCATGAGGAAAGCTGAATAATAATGTGGTACTATAACAGAAGCATGCATAAAAACAAAGTGCTGTGTTTGTGGAACCAGAAAATGACCCCTCCATGAACATACAATTATTAATGGACTGCCTTTGATTTTTCCTCTCAATAATTGAGTTGGTAAATGCGACAAACTCTTATTTATTGACATTTTGATGTGAAATTTGATTGCTTTGCCACTTGACTCTTTTTTATTTTTTATTTTTTTAATTTAAGTTCAACTTCAAATCTGCTTGTGCTTACCATCACACAAATGATGATTCACAATTCATAATTACGGGTCAAATTTATTTATTTAACCACGCAAATTCACATAATCTCTGGGTTTTCTAAACGAAACTGCAATTGAATTATCAGTAAAATAACATAAATTCTTGTTTCTAAGTAATTATATTGATGATAATTGATGCAGTCCTTATTATTTTTTGTATCTGGTGTTTAACATAATAGCACTTATAATACATTAAAAAATTCAAATGAATTAGTCAATTACAACAAATATTACATTGCCAGTTTACCTCTTTAAAATATCCAATATAATATTAGATTATATATCAATTTATACATTAAGTAAATTAATTTTAAAAAATAATAAATATAAGAAATAAATTGAATTAAAATATTATATTAGGACTAAATCTAATCTTAACTTACTCATCCAAGGGAGTAATTGAAACATCTATTTGTATAAAATATTTGCAAGATGTTTCAAATTTTCTTAGCTAGTTTCCTATTTTGTCCTTATAAATTACCTATTTTAATATTTAA